ATTCAACCAGTCATAGACTGCTGAAGGTTCAAACAGTGTCCAAATAAGGCAAACGCTGAGCCGTAACCACTCTCGCTGCTTCTGTACCTCACTTCCGATTCTTGTACATCACTTTATCTTTTTGGTCTATAAATTTGTTCTGACCACAAGGCACCCCTGGAGACTAATCTGCTGTGATCCTGGGGACTGCCCGATTCACAACTTGTTCATTTAAACTCCCTTAAATTGAATTTGGCTGAAATTTTCTTCTATTATCAGTCATGAGGTCCCATGAGACAGCAGTGACAGAACTGGAAGAAACTTTAGACAGTAATTCTTGGTGGGAAGATAACTTGAGTTGAACCCAGAGTCTTGAGACTGAAATACTAAAGATATTTTGTACAGGGGTGGTGGTGAGAGAGTGTTTCTTTTAAGAAACTCCCAACCATTACCCGCCTGACTCCTGTAACTTACAGCAGTGAAGGCAGATGAAGACGCCTGGCCTTAGGTTGAACATACATTCTCCACTTTGTGTTTGCTAATCTCATGTAACTCCTTTTAGTTTCTTTATTATCATCATTTTAAAACAAGCATTAAAACGTGCTTTGGCTCTCTTGCATATGCAAAGAAGCAACCCTGGGCGCCTGTGTCTTTTCCAGGCCCTGGCTTTCTTCAGAAGCCAGGGTGTGCTGGGAGCATTGTGAGGGCACAGGTTCAGCCTGAGTCTCTTCCCTGGAGGTGTCTTCCTAGTGTGTGCAGTGGGCTTTACGTGGCTTCCCAGCCCTCCATCTCAGAGAAAGACAAAAGCAACTGGATATGGTGTGTGTACTTGTCAGACTGTTTATTTGCCATTCACACTGATTATAACACTGGATTTACAGAAGAAACTGTGGTACAAAGAAAGGAAGGCTCCGGCGGCTCCTGAACAGCAGCAGTCCAGCTGCCCTGCACAGGCTGGGCAGGATGAACGCTCCCGGGAGAGGGGAGGTGGCCCACCTAACTGTGTACAGTGGAGTACCTGCTCTCCTGTGCTGTCTAGAAACAATTTGGAGAGGGGGTTTGGGGGTATTCTCTCATCTCATGTGGCTGAAGTGTTCAATACGATTGTACCAGGGAGAAAGAACCCCACGCATGATTTTTCAGGATGCTTTGAGACCAAACCCAATAACTGCCACACAAACAGACCCTAGATGGGGGCTTGTTTAAATAGGACCACATTTCCCGTTGCTTTTTCAATAGATGTGTTATACCATCATTTCAATTTGAAAGTTTATTTTTTTCCATTGATTTTTATACATCCAGAATAACACAAATATCCAACAGTTCTTTTTCTTTTTTGCACATTCATTTCCCCTAGAACAAAAAGTGAACTTAAAAAAGAATCGGAACCATGCTATTAGTTGTTTACAAAAGTGAATAAGAAGTAGCTCATTTTAAAGTCTAAAATAAAGTAGAAAGAAACATTTTTTTCCCCTACAGTATTCAGCAAACCTAAGAAAAAGTCCTTAGAAACACGCACAAAAAAATTGAAAAAAAGTTATAGGCATTAACAATATTTTATAATGAAGCTTAAAATCTATTTACATACATAAATACAATTAACTTTGTTGATGCAACTCTTCTGGAAGGAAAAAAATAAAAAGCCAAACGATCAGCCTTATCAATACTGACCTGGCTAAAACCAAAAATCCCCAATGAATAAACAAATATCCCAAAACGAGTGTATATGCCAGGGTAAACAAAAGGCATTTTGTTCAGATGTAAAAAAATGTTTTGTGAGATTATTGTCAAACAAATTTTCATGTATAAAAGACCCAAATGTGTCATCTCCCCCCGCAAATAAAAACCAACAAAAATAAAAATCACCAGGACGGAATGTCCCAAGGAAACAGGTATTTCAAGGCAGAAATCTGCAATCCTAAATTGCAGGACATTTGAGTGAAACCATTCATTTCCTTTCTCATCAGAGCATTTCTGTTTATCTGCGCAGAAACCCAAGGCAGCAGAAAGGCTGTTTACTCACTGATTTTTGATTTGCCCAGGAGAGTTTTCGTTGCTGCATTTGGACTGCAAGCAGATCCAATATGGTTGGCAATGTCTCTGTTCTGCTGGAAGAAACCCATAAACAGGAGAAAGCTGACTCACCATGTTCCTTTATGTGAAGGGGGAAGAACTGGACCTGCTTGTGTTCTGAAATGGTGGGGCTATGTGCTATCTCCTTAAGAGAACATAGGAAAATGAGGAGGGAGAAAGTAGAGTTTGGAAGACAGAGGAAGAAAGAAAAAGAGGGAGATATTGGGGGGAAGAGAGAAAGGAAAATGTATTTATAGACAGTGAGAAAAACAGAAAGAACTGAAATATGTGTCCATGTTGAAATCATAAATAGGGACATGAGTAAGCAGTAGAAATGGCTTATTCAATACTTCTCTGGACCAAGGTTCCCAGATACCTGCAGTTATCACATGATTGGCATAAGGGTCTCATTGATACCTGAACTTTCCTGAAGGCAATGAATAAAAAGATACCTTAATCTACCTGAAGTCAATGAATGCAATTTTCACACACACATACAAAAATGTGCTGCATGAGACCTATTTCCAAAACAACTAAAGTTTGATTTTTTTTTCTGAAACAATTAAATACTATATATGCTGGTAAGAGTCTGTGAAACTCGAAATGACCAAGCCAGTGAATCCACAATAGTGACAAGCCCTCTCCACACATGACTTTGAGAGTCAAGGTTCAATGTGAAAAATTATCTAATTCACCTTGCAGAGCATGAGGCTGATTTTGAGTTGGAATATCTTCAGGTACCAGAATTAAACTGAAAAATATAATTTTTTACTTCATTTTTCTCCAGCATTTTTGCAGGTCAGACATGGCAACAGGTGCTGAAAAGAACACTTAACGTTCAATTTGGGGGAAACAGGCTAATGGTCCTTTTCAGAAATTAAATTTTTACGTTTGCTGAAATTTGATGGTAATTTAGCTGCAAAAATGTAATGGAAGAACATATGAAACTGAGTTGTGGAGGGAATTCTGTCTAAAATGAAAGTGAATACATTCTGAGTTTTTCCGAGATCTGCTATAGCTCTTCTCTAGATAAGAACAACTTGACGACATAAGCTGCTTTGCCCTTTAACTCTTACCAAAGTGCTTCTGCATGTGTGTAAAACAAATAATCAATATATATATAAGAAACCTCAAAAACAAGTTGTTTTAAATAAGTCCAGCTGTTTTTGCTGCCTGCAGCCAAAGATTTGTTTAATTTGAATGCTTAAATTTATAAAATAAAAATCAAACACTGTTCTGAAGTCCTGCTTTCAAATACTCTTCAGAGTTGACCTGAAATCGTTTCAATGAATTTTAAGAGGTACGTTAAATAACCACCAGATCATTTGGAGCACACATATGTCAGAATCAGCAGTTAGTATTTATGAGTTGTACAACAACTGCATTCTGACCAAATCCTACAATAAAAATAGTGCCATAAAATTTACAGTGACATTGGATACCTTTGAACTGTAGCCACCGACAGCAGTGACATGAATCTTTCCTGTCACACTGGTGCACAGGTAAAAGTCCACACACCCCATAGGGTAGGGTCTCAGCATGGTGAAAGCAACACAAAGATGTGAGCAGCACAGGACGGGGAGGGGAGGTCTTGCATAGGTGGGACCATATTTTCCCATTTGACTCCACTGAGGCACACAGAGGGAAATTGGCTCCTTGAGGCCTGCTTCTGGTGGGCCCCTAAATTGCTACAATCATAGCCTCTAAATTCATTGATTTGGTTCCTATGTAAATGCGGCTCCCCTACACAGTTTACTTTGGATGTGTTCTGTTACACAGCATCTGTGAAATTATCAGATGACCATGGGGTGAGCAAATCCCTGGGCAGAAATTGAATCCTCTTCACAGGTGTAATTATTGGCACCTGCCCCAACCCTCTGGCACTAGATTGACCTTCTCTGTTTGTAAGGAGGAAGTTAGATATGAGACCCTTTGTTGAGCCTGGGAGACAATTCCATACTTCTGATCCTTGGAGTGACCCTCAGTGTCTAAAAATCCTATTAAAAACATTGCTGCGTGAGCTACCCACTTGTTTGATGAACATGAAAGGGAGTTTAATGTAAACAATACTTCTAGATAACCAAGTGATCACATTACTCATCCTTTTTTTTAGCCTTCTTCAATGTGATACATTTAACTTTGGCTACTATCAAGAACAAAAAAAGTGTAGTACTTGATATTTTTCTTAATATAAGTACATTTAAATAATTAAAAAAGTATCAACACATAAGTAAATGTCTGAACATCAAGATACATAAATATCTGGGGATTCCTTGTGGGAATACAGTAGTTAAAAATGACCCAAAGCTGTAGCTGTTTCTCAAAAAAAACAACTACCCAAAAGTCCAAAAGAAAAGTTAAATAAAACTTACAGAAAAGGGAATCATATTTCTTTCCATGGTCAAAGCAAGAAAGAAGCAAGCTCAATTTATATATATTTATATATACGTATATAAAAATAACCACCCAAATGCAAATATGCATTTTGCAATTGATAAGGTGCGGCAAAATTAAAAATAAGAATTAGATGCCAAACAGGGCAAGTTACATCCCCCCTCTCCCCCCACCCCAACCAAAATTCCACACTCTTTGGAATAAACAACTTGGTTAAAAATTTAAGTCAAGGGTATAAAATCTTTCTTTTTATTCACAGCATTGCTAAATCAGAAGCATTCACAGTTTCCCTCCGGGAATCTTCCTGTTTGCTCTGCAGCGCGTCCCCTGGGTGCTGGGGCTGGTGGACACCCTCGAGGTGCGTCGGCTCGGACACTTCCGCGAGGGCCTGGGCGCAGGCGGACGGCGGCGGCGTGGGCTTCCGGGCGCGGGAGGCTGCGCGCGCCCGACCCACGGCGAGATCCAGGCCGGGGCGGGCTTGTAGAAAACAGGAGGCCCGGACCCGGAGGAGGAGGCGGCGCCCCGCGGGGCCGAGCCGGGCCGGGCCGGGCGCCTCAGTAGGGCCTCCACACGGCCTCCTCCAGGCGCGCGGCGGGCGCCATGTTGGTGGGGGAGTTGCTGTGGCTGCCCTCGGCCTCCACCACGTCGCTCTGGTTCGGGAGGCTGGGGTTGAGCAGCGCCGAGCCGGTGGAGGCGTTGGTGCAGGGCGGCAGGATGCGCGGCGGCGAGCGCTCGCCGCCCACCATGGAGAACTGGTAGGAGCCGGCCGAAGCGCCGTAGTACAGGTGGTAGGAGGGCGAGCTGGCCTGGAATGGGCCGCCCTGCGCCTGCGCTGAGCCCGGGTAGGGCGGCGGCAGGTAGGTGTGGTAGCGTGTGGCCGAACTCATGGCCGACATGCCGATGCCAATGCCCGAGGTGACCGGCGTCGGGGAGTAGGTGAAGGCACCCGGGTAGTGCATGCGGGGGTCGGAGATGGAAGGCAGCGCGGGGAACTGGCGCGGGTCGCTGAAGGCAGTCAGGTCGGGTGCTGCTGCAGGGCGGGCAAGAAAACGGAGCCGGAGTGAGTGGGGGGCTGCTGAGGCCACAGCTCTTCCCTTTGCCCCAGGGATCCACCCAGGATGCTACCTAGGAGGATGGAAGCCACCCAGGATGCTACTGCCCTGGAGGACGGGGGCCACCTAGGATGCCACCTCCTGACAGCGCAGGGACCACCCAGGATGCTATGCCCAGGAGGAAAAGGACCAGTCAGGATGCCAGCCCCTGGGAGGATGAGGATCACCCAGGATACTATGCCTAGGAGGATGGGGACCACTCAGTATGCCACCTCTTGAGAGGACAGAAACCACCCAGGATGCTACCATCTGGGAGGATGGGGAGCACCCAGGATGCCATCTCCTAAGAAGATGGGGACCACTCAGGATGCCACCACCCGGGAGGACAGGGATCACCGAGATGCCACCTCCAAGAGGAGGGGGACCACTCAGGATGCTACCACCTAGGAGGACAGGGTACACCTAGGATTTTACTGTTCAGGGAGATAGATTTCTACCCAGAATCTACAGCCCAGGAAGATGGGAACCACACTGGATGCTACCACCTGGGAGGATGGGGGCCATCCAGAATGCTGCTGCCCAGAGAGATGGGTTTCTACCCCGAATCTGTCACCCAAAATGATGAGGGACCACCCAGGAAGCTACTGCCCGGGAGGATGGTATAATGTACAGTAATATAATACAGTAATATAGAATATCATGTAATGTAATATGACATATGATATGTGAAATGATCTCATATAGCATAATGGAATATGTATAGTATAGATATATGCGGTAGTATATACTATAATATGTATAACATGTATAAAATGTTGATATAATCCCAGAGTTGGCAAACTGCAGCCTGCCAGCCAATCTGGCTGCCACCAATTTTTGCATGTCCCAGGAGGTAAGAATTTATTTTGCTTTTGTTAAATGATTGGAAAAAAATCCAAAAAGAATACTTCCTGACCTGTTAAAATTATAGGAAATTCAAACTTCAGTGTCTGTCCATACTTTGGAACACATCCTCACTCATTCTTTCATGTACTGCATATGGCTGCTTAGTGGTCAGTATGCAGGTCAGACTGCAAGGACCACAAATCCTAAAATATTTATTATGATTATTTTTTTTTTTTTGAGACAGAGTCTCAATCTGTCACTAAGGTTGGAGTACAGTCACATGATCTCAGTTCACTGCACCTACCACTTCCTGGGCTCAAGCAATTCTCCTGCCTCAGCCTCCTGAGTAGCTGGGATTACAGGCACCTGCCACTATGTGTGGCAATTTTTGTATTTTTAGTAGAGATGGGATTTCACCACGCTGGCCAGGCTGGTCTCGAACTCCTGACCTCAAGTGATCAGCCTTCCAAAATGCTGGGATTATAGGTGTGAACCACCATGCCTGGCCCTAAAATATTTATTCTCTGGCCCTTTACAGAAAAAAGTTTGTTGACCCTCTGTTTAATCAATATATTAATATTGCCAATAATAATATAATCTATTTTGTGATATTAATATAACAAGTGATAATTTGACACTGTGTAATAATTACTAATGTAATGGATAAATAGGTCACTACTAACACAATATGTCATACATAATATATATCCTAACAATATTAATATGTAATAATACATTACACATAATATTTAGGTTGAATCACAGAAAATTGCCATTTTGTTAGGCCTCCGACAGTTGAAATATTGATAATTTCCTAGTATTTAAGCGAATGCATGGCTCAGTAATGACTGTTGAGTGCATGTCAGGGAATATCATTGCCACTCCTCCATCTACATATCCACCTTCAAACCACTTCCACAAATTTAGAAACGGTACAGCCTTGAGTTCACCTGGGATTCCCTAGTATGTACTTCACTGGTTTGGCAACCTAAGTAGAGGTAGGACCTTGATTTATCTACTCTATTTTTTGCACAAGTGGAAATTTTCCCAGAAATGGCAAAGCTTTGTCTCTAAAGCTCACTTTGTTATGACTCTGCATTATTTTGTTAGGATTATGCATTTACGTTTTCACCAGCCGGGTTTAGGGCTGTCCCATGGTTCACTGGCTCTGTCTGCATTTTTCTCACCTACAGAGGATTTGTGTGCTAGGCAGGGTTCCCTGTGTCTGTAGATGACAGTTTCTCAACTGTGACACTATAGATACTTTGGGACAGATCATGATTTGTTGGGGCAGAGGGGGGCTGTCTTGTTCATCATAGAATGTTTGGCAGCATCTCTGCTTTACCCAGTAGATGCTAGTAGCATCCCCCTCCCCTCTTGTGACAACCCAGAATGTCTTCAGACATTGCCAGATATCCTGAGGGTGGGGTAATGGGAGCGAAGTCACCCCAGCTGAGAACCACCACTGCAGATGCAGGAGGGCACCCTGGAGTAGTTCAGGCTCTTCAGAACTATTCATTAAATGACCAGGCTAGGACTCTACTCTTTACATCAGCAAATCCACAGACAGCAACAAATGGTAGAAACAGGAATTAATTGTTTTAAAATGTGAAGTTCTCAAATCAACACAAAAAATAAATCTTAAGCTCAGATGGCATGTGGCCTGTGTCCTTTTGAGTTCAGGCTGATAGAGAAAGTTGATGGAGCCAAAAGCTTGCTCTGAAAGGAAAGCTACCAGGGTGGATTAATCTGTTTTTGGAAGGCATCGGCAGTTGATCAACTTCCTCATATTTCAAGCCTGTTATTCCAGCAGGGAGAGCTAGTGTGTTCTCTCTCCCCCCTCCCTCTTACACTCTCTTCCACGCCCCATCCTCCCTCGCTCTGATGGTCTTTTATTGCCCTTACTAATTTTTTTAAAAATGAACTTCCCTGTACCTTTGGGGTGAATGTGATGAGGGGATACACTCCTCATCAGAGAGGTAATTAAAGTTTATAGAAACAGCCCAAGTCTGTAGCAGATCCCTTCACTAATGAGGAAACCAGGAGTCTGACTTTCAAACAAACATTCCTGTTAATCTTTTCAAAGCCAGGCAGACATGTGGGCAGGGAAAATGTTGTAAACGGACAGTGGTTCTGAGGCTGCCCTTCCTTGGCCACACTCTAGTCATTCTTGAGCCAGGGCACACCTCATTCCACAGAGTTCATCCTTGCCCGCTCACTGGGGCAATCTGTGAGCAAGCCCTGTGTCACTTGCTTTTGCTGACATGGAGAGCTGTGACATGTTTGAGAGTTAACAGGAAGCTTTACTCCATCTTTTTCCAGTTAGATTTGTAGAGTCTACAGAGAAGCTGCGACAGGAGGAAAAGCATTAGGCAAATACAGTCAGTTTGTTGTCAGCTGATGCAATACTCTGGACACAAATAAAGGACTCTGCCCATTATTCTTCTTGCTTCATTTGCCCTGAGACAAAAACGTGAATCTACTGGAAAATGAAAGGTCACCCTGTTTTACAGCAATGTCTGGACATGCTCTGCCAGTAGGTTCCAACTACTACATGGTAATGTGGTGATGGTACCAAGTTCCTGGAATCTGGAGTGAGTCTGTGATTCGTCATGGACGGAAGAGCTGGAATGATGTTACAGTGTCAGCTGCTGTGGGAAAACAGTTCTTTCACTTGTGGACAGACCATCCAAAAACAAGAGCTGAAATGCTGCTGATGGTCTTTCTTCTATGTACACACGAACAACGTGATACTACGAAAGACCATCCATTTGGGCAAATTAACTTTTTAACACATATTTTGATAATAAAACACCCTCTGCCCTCTAGATATGCTTAGATTGAAACGCTCTATTCAAATGTTGGTTTTCATCTTTATGTCTTGTCTCAGTTCCCTTATTCAGACCCATCAGTCTGTACAATTCACCCATCCAGTCATAGCTCTTCTGTCCTTTTGATTGGCCTGATGTCCCCTGATTCAGCAGCATTGTGGGTTGAGTTGGGGACTCCCGATGTTCACAGGGAGTTTTTGAGTCGGAAACCTGGGGCTTTGGAGGTCTAGGTATTTTGGTTGGAAATGTTTTCCCATTGATGGGGCTAAATATTTGCCATGACAGATCAAGTCTTTGCTCTCCAGCTTGACATGGATGAAAGCAGCCTCGCTCCAGGGCCCCTCCCACTGCCTCCAGAGGATTAAACAACCTGAGCAGGTAATGGCTGCCTTTAAAAGGAGCTTTTGCATGACTCAGATTAATGCATGCTGTCTGTCGCCCAAGTTGGCAGCTAAACATTAATTTTTTTAAAAAAAGAAAAAGAAAAGTGAACCTCTAGATGACAACTCTTTTCAGACAAGGTGTGGAATCTGTCTGCAAAGGATAGAGAGAGAGACAGATCCAAGTCTCCAGCACAGAAGTAAGCCCAGGTGGGGCTGGGGGTGGGGAGAGGGGCAGAGCACAAAGCTGTCGGGCCAGATTAAAAGGCAAAGCAGCCACAGAGCAGTGTCAGGTTCTCAAAGCTGTCGGCCAGGCAGCCACTTTGCTTTTATGTATTCCACCCCCCTCCTGCCTCCAGGTTTATGACAACACTTTTCAGGCCTGTGCTTCAGGCTTGATTTCTCAGAGGGAGTTCTGCCAAATTGAAGAGCAGTCTCCCATACTGTTCTATGCCACTGTGAAAGCTCACCTGGAATTCTGTCCTCCCTCAAGATTCTTCTTGGGTTCTGAAATGGGACAGGGTTTCTATCTACTTCACAGATCCATGTCGTAAAAAGTTCTTCCTTACTCCTTGGGTGATCGAAGTCCAGGGTATTCACAAGTGTAACTGTGATATGGGACTTTGGAGTGCACATGTTACTGATTTCTTTTATTAAAAAAGTCACCCTTCCATCTGACCACCAGTCAGCTGGAGGAGTTGGCCCTGAGGGTTCTTGGACTATAACGTGCTGATCTTGGGTGATGACCAAGTCAAAAGACTTATGTAATAAATTCCAAAGGATAGACCCATAGCAGGAACATTTCCAAGGAGAACAGGCATCATTTCAGGTGAATACCCTAGCCAGTGGGAAGAGGGGTGCCACTGAGAAGAATCAGTAAAAGCTGACAAGTGCCTTTGTTCTTGAGGAATAAGCTTCTAGAAACCGCAAGCTGAACAAGATGCCATGACACCTGTGCTACTCTCCCAGCGCTTTAGACCAGCATGCACCATGAAAATATTGGCATTAATGGCCAAAAGGCATGTGAAAACGGAGCACCTAAGTTGGCTTTCCTATTTGACTATAGCACTCAAGAATACTGGAAGGCAGTGGTTCTCACCCGGGCCAGTTTTTCCCCCTGGGACATTGGGAAATTCTGGAGACATTTTGCATTGTCCTAACTGGGGTGAGGGGGATGCTACTGGCATCCAGAGGCCAAGGATGCTGCTAAATATTCTCCAGTGCACAGGACAGACTCCCCAAAGAATTATTTGGCCCCAAATGTCAACATTACTGCTGTTGTGAATCTCTGGGAAGGCATTCTATGAAGCTCTAAGAAGCAGCTAAGGCATCTGGTGAAACCTGAAGTAATCACAACTGTCTGGAAAACACGGTATTACACAACATTTAAAATGGCAGACATGACTCCACTGCCCCAGTGCCTGCCCCCTAATCTGCTATAATCTGATCCCAAGAGCTGAAAAGCAGGACTCGCCCCCTCCCCACAACACACATGCAAGTGTGTTTGCAGGCGTCATAACACGGAGGTTCTCTGAAGTATTTTCACAGTTTGATGCGGCTCCGATTTCAAAGCCCCAAACACTAAGTTTCTTCTTTTGCCTTCAACAAAGGAATTTTTCTCTGTAACTCTGATTTCCCTGCCCACGAGCAAAGGTGAGTGCCAAGCCCAAAGGGCCCATAGGTTAAATGACTAATACTTAATGAGCTCGTATTAACAACAATTATGCTTAACCATGACACCTGAGCTTTTCACGCTGTTCCTCTAGCCTCTGTATGAACAGCACTTAGTTGGAAGGGAAATGTCTCATTTGGAGTATACAGTTGGTTCTCTGTATCCGTGGGTTCTGTATCTCTTCAACCAATTATAGATCAAAAACATTATTTAAAAAAAGGATGGGTGTGTCTGTATTAGACATATACAGACTTTTTTTTCCTTGTCATTATTCCCTAAACAATACAGTATAACAAGTGTTTACATAGCATTTACATTATATTTGGTATTACAAGGAATCTAGAGATGATTTAAATAGATGGGAGGATGTATAGAAGTTACATATAAATATTATATACCATTTTAAATGAGGCACTTAAACATCCATGGATTTTGGTACCCATGGCAGGAGTGGGATCCTGGGACCAGTCCTCCATGGATACCGAGGGGTGGCTGTGCTTACTTCTCATTCTACATGTACCCCCGTCTGCTGTCTATGTGATCTGTGAAGATTTACCAGCACCACATGGACCAGTCCCAGCAGTCCAGAGTTCGGCTGGAAGAATGAGTCCTAAAAGGTGACTGCTTTGGCTTTTTATATTGTTCTTAACCCTTCAGTCACCTTCCTTTTTTGCCAGATGTGAACAACTTTAGAATGTCTAAGGAATCTGCTGCTCTCAGCCACTTCTGCCTTCACATCCACAATCTCTGCCTCTAAGTGTGCAAGAAAATCAGTGCATGAGCATGGGACTCAAGAGTAGAGATAGGTCACCTTCTTTAAACCATATTTTACTCATTTAATAATGTCTGCCAACCCCTTCCTGCACCTCTAGTCTCCTGGACCTTCCACCCCAGCTCAGCTGCAAAGAGTGTGTTTTCAAGTGGCTTACTTGAGAGTCGACTGGAAAGTTCTGCAGATAGGGTTGTCATGCCGCTGGCACGTCCAGGTGAGATGGGCGTTGCTGGGTGCACAGAAGGAGAGGCAATGGATCCCAGGTACTGGTAGGACTGATCGTAGGACCACGGTGGGGATGGCTGGATCTGCCTTGTGTCTGAAGAGAATCAGAAAGGCCAGTTATACGTTAAGTGGGGTGGGATTTAAAAAACAAAACGTCTTTTAATAAGAAATGAGTAGCCTTTGTTTAAATATGTCATACGCATGTATGTGGCCTATGTACCAGGGCTTAATAAGCCTACTCAAGTCCAAGTATCTGCCTCTGTTGGATGATCTCCCCACAAAAGAGACTGAATCCTTGGAGACTGTCACCTGATAACCACTCCTACCAAAGGTTTTATTTAATCATGCTAACAATGATGAGAGAACTGGATCACACTTTCAAGGTAGAAATACTAATGTCCAGACTGTTGAACTGCAGCTCTTGACAACTTCAAGTATCATAAGACTGCTGAGACGACTTCAGCTTTACCAATAATTACAATTATCATCATCAGAAACATTTTATAAACTTAGGAGATCACCTCTCTGTATTCAGTAAGAATGTAGAGTTTTTGGACTTTTTTTTTATACCTTTGGTATAAGAATTCCATGGGCTGGTAAGTGTTTTATATTTAGATGAATTCTCTCCCAAGGATGTCAGGAAAGAAAGTCTGGCTGGAAAACTGGCAATGAGGTCTAATGACTAGTCCGCAAACCCAGCAGTGGAACTGGCCCTGTCAACCCAGGCCTTCTGGACCTTTCAGGACTTCAAGTTTGCAACTTTTAAAAGTCAGGTTTTGAGCAGATATTTTATAGATTGCCATTAGAAGAGGCCTGGGATAGAGAGGAGACGAAAGTCTGACTTCAAAAGATTTAGACAAAATGGATTTTCTAAATTTGACTCCAGCATCCAAAGGAGTCTTAATTTTCAAAAGCATCATACTGTTTGCAGATGAAAAGGAAAACCAGCTCTATTCTTAGGCAAATGTGTTAGGAAATTTAAATTGGACGGCGTCCCACTAGAAGACAATTTTACATTTCTTTGGAGTTAAACATTAATTTTCTCTCTATGTCCCACCTTCTTGTGGACAAAGATAACTGTGAACTACCATAACTCCCACGGGTCTTTACCAGAGCTTCATGATCCTGCAAGTAGTGGTGTAGGAAGAGCCGACTTCTTTAGGAAAATGCAGGGTATAAGTTTTGTATCGGTCATGACATAAAGAAATGAGCCATTCCTACTCATTATAAAATATTCAGATCTGCTTTCTCCAGGGGCTTTTCATTTCCAGCAGTTCAAGTTTGCCTTTCTGTGTATGTCTTTGAAGCTGCCACAGTGGATAACAGAATCAGACATTTGGAGACCAAGTCTTCCTCCCCAGTATTTCTGTTGACAGCCTCCCTCCCTCCCTCATACTGATTCATTTCTTTCTTTTCTGTTTGTGCATGAAAATAACTGATTTTTTAAGTTTAAAAAACCAGGTAGTTCCTGGGCAAATGTTTTAACTTAGAATCTTTGAAATCCAATATTAAAGAAAGGTCTTCATTGTATTCTAAATTTTAGAGGATGTAAAGAGGCGGTAAGAACAAAAGAGCTGGTCCATTTCAAACTCAGCAGAAAATAAATGTTCAACCTTGGCTGAAGCTCCTGTGTGACCTTACAGCTAACAGTGTTTCCAATAACTAAAGGCAAACAGAAATAGCACACTGTTCAACAGTCCCATGCTACTCTAAGTATTTTGCTCCAAGTAAAAAAGAAATTGATACTTTCTATAAGACGTGTATGTTCTACACACACACGTTTACTAAATGATTATATAGTACTCCAATAATTTAATCATTTAAAAAGTAAACAAAAGAGGTTTTAGAATTGTCATAAAGCCCCCCCAGGGTGTGAATTGCGGTGCACTAATTCGTGCCTTATTGGGCAGACAGCCTCACACCTCTAACCTCATGTCTAAAGCCACACTAAGCATAAAGTATTATGCCATGATTCATGCTCTGTCATGTTTTACTGTACTGAAAAAGTTGTGCTAGGCTTTTCTAAACTCATAATTAAACCATGCAAACGTTGCATAATATTTCACAGCCTTTAAAAAATATGCTTTGGTAAAGTGATCTTTATGATTGAAGTCCCAGTTCTGTGAGTTTTCTTTTTTTTTCTAACGACAGGCTTGCAGATTCCACATTTTCTGACTTCACACCATAACTTAGCTTTTCAGGTGTTGGAGTGGGTGGGGGATTGGCAGTAAACACCCCGAAGCCCACCCACCCCCATCAGTTTTCTTTCATGTGACCACAGTGCTTGGGTCCATTGCCAGCCGTGGGCCAGAAGGTGGGGATGCTGAGCCTCTCATGTTGGGGTTTTAGTTGTTTCCTCTTCTACATGTCTTATTAATAGAAAACAAAAACAAAAAGGCCTGATAATGTGGTGCATTCTCAGTTTACTATTCATTGTCGTCTTTGGTCTGATGAGGCCAACTTGAACTCATGGGCCACTTGAGCACTGGATTAATAGGCAGGAGAGGTAGGCTCTGGGTCTGTGTGGTGAGCAACTGAGTGACCTTGGATTACTCACTTACACTTTCTTATTCTCACTTCTGAAGGGAGATGATCCCTATATCCTTTCCAATGGTGACAGAGCAGGATTCCAATTCCAATAGGTCCGACACAATACTTCTTTGCTTTACTTGTACATTAAGCAGAGTGAGGGAAGAATCAGATATGGGGTGAAGAGTGGTGCCTGCAATAATAAATATGTGTATTCTGGGAGGAGGAAGTAGAGGGCGGTAAGATGGGCGTTATCCAGGAAAGGCCACAGGCTGAAGAAGAGAACCACTGTCAGTCATTCTCCAGAGCACAGGGCTACTTGTTCTTGAAAGAGTTGCCTCTGATAAGTCAATCCGACAAAGAACAAAAGCTTACTGATCATTTACTGTGTGCCAGGAATGTGCTAATTTACCTGGCAGCAGAGTGATGTTGATGAATAAGACCAATATGGTCCCTGCCCCACTGGCACTTAGAGTCAGTGAGGATCTCAGGACCTTGCGATGCTTGGAAAGGCATCTTCCTATTGCATTAACCATCAGACTGGGTGTTGCTTCATTCATTCATTTATTCATTCATATGTTCATGAAGTTACTTTTTCATTCACTCATATTTCCAGCAAACATTTTTTCTTCACTAGGGCAACTGTCCTGGGGACTCACTAGTGCATGGAAAGTTCCTGCCTTCTAGGAGTTACAGCTACTGGGGCGCCTAAGGGCTGTATCTGGGCTAACTGCTAGATTAGCTGCCTAATTTGGACTTGCAAACAGCTGTTCCCAAGGTAGAAACAAGAACCCTGTTGGTATTTATTACATGCTTATGTTCTGCCTCTGAGAGGAGGAGACTAGGGAAAGCACCGAACTTAAATCACAGATAGATATCAGTTTGCATCCTGCCTTCACCATAAACCAACTGGATGACCTTAGCCAGGTCACTGATTTTCTCTGAATGATAGTTATAATTCTGACTTCAAAGGGTAATAGGAAAAAGTGAGATAAGCTATATGGAAAGCAAGTATCACAATTTCTGGCCATAGTAAATGCTCAATAAGTCTGAATAACGTTTATGATTATATTACTAAAAAGGGAGAGAAATCCATGCCACGGGACCTATCTGATGTTCACTGGTAAGACCACACACATTTGCTCCAGGATAAGGCTCAAATAATAGTGTTTGTTCACGGCAAGAGTCTTAGCAGACACACTCTTCAGGCTAGAGAGGAGCTGGTCTCAGGAGATTAAATGGTAAAGGGGCAAGGAAATTGGAAAGTTGGGATTGGGTTGGAGAAGGCAGGAATTCAGTATCTCAACCAATTCATGTTTCCATTAAAAAGTACTGGATTCAAAAATTTAAATTTGAGCCTCTGTGCATACTGGTTTTCCAGGCTAAATGATGTTGAATGCAGCCACTTTACTGAGACCATTTTGTGATGGGTTATTTTCAGCTTTTTAATAATCAAATAATGGGTAAAACAGGGCCCCTTTCTACATTCTTGATCCCTATTCCCTTCCATTTGAAATGGGAAGTTAGGGATAAGGTAGAGTTGAGGTTAGTGGTGAGCTCAGGGGTGTACATGGCATATATCACATGAGAAGAAAGGAGAGTGCTTTTATCTTTTGATGCAGCAATATTAAAATGTCTCTAGAGTCAACAATGACCCTACTAAATAATTCATGTCAAAATGTCCTGCTGATTCCAGTTTCAGTTCCAAAATGTAAAGAGCTTGAGAGTCATCACTCTTGTTTTTATAAGAAAAAATGCTGAACAAACTAAAAATCCATGACTTTTCTTAAGTCCCCCGGAAAGCTGAAGTTGCAGGGCAAACTGCCACCCCAAAATTTTGAGACACAGGCCAATACCGAGAATCACAGTGAGGTCTGCTTGCTGGGAGCAGAAGTTCTGAATTCATAAACTGATAGGAACACTTAATGGTGATTTTGACAAACTGCTAGAGGGTAAGTAGAGACTGGTGTGAGAATAAGACACTCCTGGGGGCTACAGTTTTAGGAGGAAGTGCACTGTTGTGGGCTTTTCATTCAGGAACTCCACCAGACTCTCACAGGATTCAGTATGTTATAATGGATTATGGCTGAAAGAGCTTCAACATATTGACTATTTAAGGGGAGTTCATAGAGAAGCTCACAGATGACATGAGGGACAAAAACAAGGACACTAGAGGAATTTGAAATCTCTGGTACCTTCTGCAAACATTAAACCTTTTGCAAACTACAGCCCAACTCTTAGCGACATGAAAATAATAACTCACACTAAAGGCCTGTTTGCTTCAGTTCCTATTACCTGATAAATCATGTACAGCTTTCAGTAAAAAACTATAAGAAAGGCAAGAAAAAACACAGACAAAGCAAGCATCCAAACCAGACTCAGATGTGACACAGATTTTGGAATTACCAAATGGAGTTTAATGATGATTAAAATGATAAGGGCTTGAGTGGAAAAAGAAGACAACATGCAAGAACAGATGGGTAATATAGGCAGGGAGATGGAAACTCTTAATACTCAAAAGGAAATTCTAAAAACTAAAAACACCCTAACAGAAATGAGGAATGG